CCGTTCAAGGGACGCTCGGACATTGGGACGCTGCATGAGTCGGAGAGAAAAGAAGAGAAAATGATTAAAGAAATTTTTTTATTGTTACTCTTTCCGCATACACAGTATCGTTGCCACTCGCTGGATTGTGCATGTTGTTCTTGTTGCGGGTGTGGCAGTTGCTGGGTTTTGCGGATTGCGGTGTTCATGTTGTGTTGTTAGGGTTTGTGTTATGTTACGGGGCACACATGGGGGTGAAGGGGTGTTGTAGGTTTTATTAGCAGCCGGGTCGGCTGCGAGCTATGTGGTAGGGAGTGATGTAGTGGTGGTATTGACGTGCGCCGGCAGTGATGGATCACGGGGCGCGGGGTTGGGCACGCGGTGTGGGCGTGGCATGGACGCGCGCGCCGGTGGTGAGGCGCGCTCACACAAGCTGGGAAAAGAGGATCGTAGCGAGTGCGCAGTGATTGGTCAGATAAGTGAGTACTCTCAGCGACGTCCGCAGGAGGGGTATAAAGGGGGACGCGCGAGAGCACTCGTGGTCGGTGTTAACCAGTTGAAGACCGAAGACGGGGTGGAGGAGGTAGGGGCCCTGTGTGGCTCGGAGCCGAGACTGGGGGGACCGTAGTCCGACGCCCGTGTGGGTCGGGACGGTGGTACCCAGAGCCGAGACGGGCACCCCGGCTGGGTGTGTCCCGGAAGGCTACAGGGCGTAAGAGCCCGTGTCAGTACAGCTGAGTGGGTGTTGGTCACCCGTGTAGCTGAGTGGGTGTTAGTCACCCGTGTAGCTGAGTGGGTGTTGGTCACCCGTGTAGCTGAGTGGGTGTTGGTCACCCGTGTAGCTAAGTGGGTGTTGGTCACCCGTGTAACGAAGTTGTAGTTGAGTGGGTGTCCGTCACCCGTGTAGCTAAGTGGGTGTTGGTCACCCGTGTAACTAAGTAGGGTGTTAGTCATCCGTGTAACTACAAGTTGGTGAAAATAAAGAGTGTGCTACCCGTGAAGTCGTCTCCTGCCGAGTTACTACTTTACACATCCGCTGTGCCCCTTGCTGCGTTTTAGCCGCCCGGCTCCCGGCTTGTTGTTGCGAGCGTCGCTCCTCCACCCTCCGCTCTTGGTGAAGGGCGACTGCCTCCGACTGCCCAGTAGCAGCATCCTTCACGAGCCTCCACCGTATAACCACACACAAAGACAAAGATCCCCCGTATAGCCTTAACAGACTGTAGGGGCAAGTGCTGTTAGTGAGCACCTATGAAGGCCAGCATAGCACACGAGGGGGTGGGTGGCCAACACCACGCCCGGCCGCCTTTGTCTCCCCAGTGGCGATGTTTACACATCGCACCAGGTACACATTTGAGGCTGAGTCGACCTACGGGAGGCCCAGGACCGGTTCAGATAATCGTCACTGGTGTTGGCCATGAGCGGGAATCGAACCCGGGTCGCCAGTTTCGTAGCGCAGCGTAGCGCTAACCGCTACACCACCGCTCCCCACATAACCACACACGTGTACACTCGCGCACAAACGCACGCACATAAACCCGTGTACGTGGGATTCGAGGCATGATCATGAGGGACGGATCCAGCCATCGCTGCCAGCGAGATGAAACAAGAGGAGGGGGGCATTCGCTGCCAGCCAGGCAGCGCCAGCGGGCTGGCAGGAACCGGGCACATGAGACGGAGAGACGGCGAGACGGAGAGACGGGGAGACGGGGAGAAGGGGAGACGGGTGCTGGCCGTGGCCACCGTCACGGTGCTGCCAGGGCCCCGTGACTCGCGTCGTTTCGCTCGCCGGCCGCGCGACATCGTGCCTGCTGTGTCATTCATACTCTTGGGTCTCTCACACTTGAGGGCCATTGTGTAAACAACCTTTGTGTGTTTATATATTTTTTTTGAGATAAAGAATAGTAATAATATTAACAACGTCGTGAAGCTCTTTATCAATTCACGACTGGATGAAGAGCCCCTCCCACGCCACGTTGGTCGTAGGGCTGTTTGACCATACTTCACCAGGCTGGTCACTGCGGCTTGGTGACGAGGGCACCCAAGAATATCGCTCGCCGCTGACGCTAGCCGTACAATGCGCTAACCGCTGTGCCACCGCTCCCCACCGATAATATTGACGATATGAAATCTGCCGAACAGACGGAACGCGCGTGTCGTGTGGCGCTGGGCAGCGGCGTGGGAGATTTACTTCAAACCGCGCGTTGGCCGAGCACAGGTGGCCCAGAATGCCAATCGGCCAGCAACAAAAAGCATCACGAATTAACGTTGTCGTAGAAAAGGGCTTAACGTGTTTCTTTACTTGGGCGAGGTTGATGTTGTTGTTGTTGTGACTGCGAGAGCTGGGAAAAGAGACGAGGGAGGGAAAGGAGATTCTCAGGTGGAGTGGTGCGAGGGAGCGTGCCGGGAGAGAGAGAGGGTCTCTATGAGTCTGTGAGAGTGTACGATTCTGTATGTTAATCTATAGGTCTCTATGAGTTTCTGTGAGTGTACGATTCTGTATGTTAATCTATAGGTCTCTGTATTGGTCTCTGTGAGTGTACGATTCTGTATGTTAATCTATAGGTCTCTATGAGTCTGTGTGAGTGTACGATTCTGTATGTTAATCTATAGGTCTCTGTATTGGTCTCTGTGAGTGTACGATTCTGTATGTTAATCTATAGGTCTCTATGAGTCTGTGTGACTGTACGATTCTGTATGTTAATCTATATGTCTCTATGAGTTTCTGTGAGTGTACGATTCTGTATGTTAATCTATAGGTCTCTGTATTGGTCTCTGTGAGTGTACGATTCTGTATGTTAATCTATAGGTCTCTATGAGTCTCTGTGAGTGTACGATTCTGTATGTTAATCTATATGTCTCTGAGTTTCTGTGAGTGTACGATTCTGTATGTTAATCTATAGGTCTCTGTATTGGTCTCTGTGAGTGTACGATTCTGTATGTTAATCTATAGGTCTCTATGAGTTTCTGTGAGTGTACGATTCTGTATGTTAATCTATAGGTCTCTATGAGTTTCTGTGAGTGTACGATTCTGTATGTTAATCTATAGGTCTCTATGAGTCTGTGTGAGTGTACGATTATGTATGTTAATCTATAGGTCTCTATGAGTTTCTGTGAGTGTACGATTCTGTATGTTAATCTATAGGCCTCTATGAGTCTCTGTGAGTGTACGATTCTGTATGTTAATCTATAGGTCTCTATGAGTTTCTGTGAGTGTACGATTCTGTATGTTAATCTATAGGTCTCTATGAGTCTCTGTGAGTGTACGATTCTGTATGTTAATCTATAGGTCTCTATGAGTTTCTGTGAGTGTACGATTCTGTATGTTAATCTATAGGTCTCTATGAGTCTGTGTGAGTGTACGATTCTGTATGTTAATCTATAGGTCTCTATGAGTTTCTGTGAGTGTACGATTCTGTATGTTAATCTATAGGTCTCTGTATTGGTCTCTGTGAGTGTACGATTCTGTATGTTTATCTATAGGTCTCTATGAGTTTCTGTGAGTGTACGATTCTGTATGTTAATCTATAGGTCTCTATGAGTTTCTGTGAGTGTACGATTCTGTATGTTAATCTATAGGTCTCTATGAGTTTCTGTGAGTGTACGATTCTGTATGTTAATCTATAGGTCTCTATGAGTCTCTGTGAGTGTACGATTCTGTATGTTAATCTATAGGTCTCTGTATTGGTCTCTGTGAGTGTACGATTCTGTATGTTAATCTATAGGTCTCTATGAGTCTCTGTGAGTGTACGATTCTGTATGTTAATCTATAGGTCTCTGTATTGGTCTCTGTGAGTGTTCGATTCTGAATGTTAATCTATAGGTCTCTGTATTGGTCTCTGTAAGTGTTCAATTCTGAATGTTAATCTATAGGTCTTTGTATTGGTCTCTGTAAGTGTTCGATTCTGAATGTTAATCTATAGGTCTCTGTATTGGTCTCTGTGAGTGTACGATTCTGTATGTTAATCTATAGGTCTCTGTATTGGTCTCTGTGAGTGTACGATTCTGTATGTTAATCTATAGATCTCTGTCTGAGCCTAAATGTCTATGCGAGTCTTTCGGTCTCAGTACTGTCGTTTGACTTGGAGGTTGTGAATGAGGCAGATCATCGCGTCTCGGAGTAGCGGGGAGTGGTGCATCGTTGCGACGATGCCTCCCCCTTCGTCTCTGTGAATCGGGCACCGAGTCGTCGCGTGTTTCCCTTCCGGGTAGTGACCACAGTTGCACACTGCCGGAGAGTTTTTGGTTTTTTCATTTTCTGCGTGTGCGTCGTCGTCAGGTTAGCCGTATCGGCTGCCGCGGTTTGTGCCGCGGTTTGTGCCGTCGGTGCGTTTCAGGTTCGTGGTCGTAAGCCCCGCGGGAGATCAAGGCCAGGGATCTTCTTCGCGAGGTGTTTGTGACTTCTTGTCAACTCCGTTCGTCTTTGCAAGCACCATCAGGGTTGAAGTCGCTTTGGGCGAAGTGCTGTGACCTGCAGTGCGGCGGTTGACCTCTGTGTGGGTGAGGTGGGCAATTGGGAGAGATGGCGGGGGGAATGGCGTAGGACCGAAAGCCTGCCGCAGGCCCGTGTCAGCCTTTGTCTCGCCTATGTGGTCTTACTAAGTCCTCGGAGCCGTTTCACGGTTCGGTACTTAGAGCGCTGTGTTTGAGTTTGACCACATTGCGGAAATAAAATTAACAGGAGTATTCTTACCTCAGGGACGAAGAGTCTAAGCGTGTCCCTACTCAAAATGAGCCCTCGAGCCAATGGTGGAAATTCGACATTCCCATGGCAGGAAAAAATATCTCCAGGGTGACTGCTGTTGGCGTCCCCCAAAGCAAGCAGGGAATTGAACCCAGGCCCCGCTTGCTGTGAGGCACAAGTGTTACCATTGCACCACCCTGCTGCCCCAGTTGCTAGTTATAGTCGGCGCTGCAGCTGGCGTGGTCGTGGTGGTTGTAAGCTGCTGTTGTTGTAGTTGTTGGAGGAGTGACTCTGCTGGTTCTATTGAATTCTGCTGCTGCTGCTGCGTCTGTCCCTGCAGCCCCAGAGATCCTGGCACAGAAGCCGTACGGGAAGGAGGTGGACTGCTGGTCCATCGGGGTCATCTCCTACATACTGTGAGCAGCACGGCTACGCACCGCACACACACAACGACAAAGGTCACCCGTATAGCCTTCGCAGGCGTTTTGAGGCAAGTGCAATTGGCGATCACTTAGGGGTGGTGGCCAGCACCACGCCCGCCCGCCTTTGTCTCCCTAGTGGCGATGTTTAGACAGCGTACCCGGTACTCATTTCAGGCTGAGGCAACCTCGGAGAGCCCCAGGAACAGGTTCAGAAAATCGTCACTCGTGTTGGTCGCGAGCGGGAATCGAACTTGGGTCGCCGGGTTCGTAGTGTGGCCGGCCAACAGCTGCGCTACTGCTCCCCGCGGATACGCACTCGCACGCGCAGACACGCACAGATGCGCACTCACACGCACAGATGCGCACTCACACGCACTCACACGCGCAGACACGCACAGATGCGCGCGCACACAAAGACACTCAGACAGACGCCCACAGAGAGGTTCCGTGGTGGTAATGCAACTTAATGTAGCTGCCCCAAAGTGTTTGCAACCACCTGGTTTTGTTGAATTGGCATCTCCGCTCAGCCATCTCTCTCCTCATTTAAACCGACTCTCTTGAAATCACTCACGTTTAAGTGTGAATGCGATCTTACGACATTGTTGCTGTTGCTAAAGAAGATATGATTTTGTGAATCTGTAATTTTGTAATGCTGTGATGTTCTCTGCCGGTGGAGTCGCTCTTGGCAAAGAGCCTCTGAGCTTAGTGGTCTTCACCGGGAAACTCGCTCCCGGTTCTGATCGTTCAGAATGGGCGCCACTGTAGCCAGATGTTGACTACCTCGCCTGGTATACAAGAGGTCGTGGGTTTGATCCCGACCCTGACACATGTATATTTGGAGTTTGCGTGTTTCTCTCTCTCATCATCATCATCACGGTGGCTAGGATATGTTAACTACCTCGGCTGATATACAAGAGGTCGTGGGTTCGATCCCGACCCTGACAACTGTATATTTGGAGTTGGCGTGTCTTTCTCTCTCATCATTATCACGGTGGCTAGGAGATGTTAACTAGCTCACCTGGTATACAAGAGGTCGTGGGTTCGATCCCGACCCTGACACCTGCTGTATATTTGGAGTTTGCACGTTTCTCTTCCCGTGGTCGTGTGGATTTTACTCCGGGTCCTCCAGTTTTCCCCTCCACGTTGAGAATCGACAATCACGCGTTTAGAGTATTTTGGCTGCTAATACATTACCACGTGATAAGCCACTTCGTTGAGCTATCATTTGTGGCCTGGTCGCTTCTGAAAAAAAGCCTCATAGCTCAGTGGGGCCTTGCCTGGTAAAATAAGAAATAGTTTAATAGTTCATAATGCCGCATCGCTCGTAACGCCGCGTTGTTGTTGTTGTTGTCGCCGTTGCCGTCCGCGCGGGTGTGGAACAGGCTGTGCGGATACCCGCCCTTCTACGATGAGAACGACGCGACGCTGTTCGAGCAGATCCTGAAGGCCGAGTACGAGTTCGACTCCCCGTACTGGGACGACATCTCCGACTCAGGTGACGCGACGCTCGGCTCTAGTTGACACACGCGGGACGGCGAGTCGCGCCGCCCCCTCCCCCGCTCCCCCGCCCCCGCTCCCTCCGTGAGCACGTGACGGGGAGGAGGTTGCCAGCGGCGCATTCGACTTGATGAAGCGACGGGGGGCGAGTTTCTGGAAGGCCTGGATGGGTTCGCGGAGCGGTGGGGTAAAAAGCGTGGCTCCTCCCACCTCTTCCAAAACATCCGACCCGCGCGTGGAAGAGTAGGCCAAATAGCACTCGAGAATGCCCTCTAGCAGAGTTCCAGTCTTGCCCCGCGTGTCGCAGCGGCGGTTTGTGAATCGGTGACGTTCAGCGCTCGAGGGCACCGTCGCTCTTGTTGTGTTTCCAGCGAAAGACTTCATTCAGCACTTGATGGAGAAGGAGCCGGTCAAGAGGTACACCTGCAGCCAGGCCCTGGAACACCCGTGGTGAGTCCCGCGCTCGCCGCGGTCTCGCGCTCTGCTGTGCCGCTCGGGCGAACGCCCGTCGTTGCTTGGTCGCTCCGGTCGGTGCGGCTCGGTGCGGCTCGGTGAAGGTCCGCCTCCGATGCCGCTCGCCGCCGATGGTTTGCCGTGGCCGGGAGTCGGACGCGGGTCGCCTGGTTCGTACGGCAGCTCGTCAACCGCCGTGCCACCGCTCCATCCCTCCTTCGTGTCGTTCACGTTACGTTTCATATTCTGCTGTAAACGCTCTTAAAATAATATGATAAGTATTACTTGGGAAGCTGGCCCATGCCACTGCGTGTGTTTTCTGCTGTATGCTTAAGCTGGGATTGCCAAGCTGGGGTTGTCCGCTGCGGACCAAAGGCAGATATATTTCTCAGTCAGTCAGTACTCGGCATATGATCGCGACTGTGCGGTTTACTGGAGTGAAGTTCGGCACCGAAATGCTGGTCCAAGATCTCAGTACAAGCTGATTCCTGCCACCCGACACAAATTCCCAGACCGTACGGGTCAAACCTGGGCTGGGGTCGCCACCACTCCAGGTAGCGACCCCTGGCTGAGCCGCGTGCTCGTTGGCACGGGTAGACGCGGACCGTGTGTGTGGCTCTTGCTTCGTGCTTGGCGCAGGATCGCCGGCGACACGGCCCTGGACAGGAACATTCACGAGTCCGTGAGCGAGCAGATCAAGAAGAACTTTGCCAAGAGCAAATGGAAGGTGAGAAAAACGCGCAGCATTCACGCGCTCAACCCGGCTGTCACCTCCTGTATTTCCCTGCCCGGACCCCCTCCCCCAACGCTCCCGGCCACCCCTTCTTCGTCTGCGGGATGCGCTCGATGCCGCATCGGCTGATCTTGTTGCCGTGTAGGCCACTCGCCTCCGTCTTGCCTCTCTCCACCCCCGCCGGCAGCACACGGCGGGATGTTTTTTCCGCGCACGTTTGGCCTCGCGCTCCGTGTTCCCCACCGGCGTTCGTGTTCCCCACGCTTTGCCGTCGCAGCAGCAGCAGCAGCGGGCTGTGCGCGCCGTCTCCTGTAGGCCCTGCTGTTGATTTTCGGTATCAAATTGAACTTTCTAAAAGCGCCCTCCGGCCCCGCTCTCGCTCGCCTCTTGGCATTTCAGCCACGAACCACCTCGTTCCGAGCAGGACCCTCCTAACAAGGCCTCTTGAGACACGGCGTCGGTTTTATATTGATGGCGGTGGTGATGTCAGTGGTAAAGAATGCCACAGATGAAAAGGATTTTGAAAGTTAAAGTGATTTCCTGCTCAAATGAGCGTTGGGGCGGTGCCTCTCTCCCATTTACAACCCTGAGACAGTGGTTGAAATTCCACATTCCAATGACAGGGGCGAGTCTATCCATAGGACAGCCTCTGTTGACTCTCCCACAGCAGTGTCACTCGTGTTCATCGACCCTGAAGGAACGATGGGCTCAGTCAACCCCACGACCTGGAGTTGAACTCAGGGCCTTTCCAATTGTGAGCCACTCGTTTTTCCGCAAAATCTACCAAGCCGGATAATCAAAATGAGAATCCGAATGTGTATTTCTCCCGGAGGAATCCGATGAGCTATGAAGCTCTTCTTCACAGATGTCCAGTCGGGGCGGGTAAGAACGTGACAACAAACACAAAACAACAACACCACGGGAGTGCAAAGCACAAGGGAGGTAAACAAATTGCCCAAAGAACGCCGATGATGAAAGAGATGACGCAAATCATGATGAGCGTGCTCATGATGATGATGATGAAGGTGACAATGCTGCTGTTTATGATATGATGCTGATGATAATGATGCTGCTGATAATACCGCTACTGCTGATGATGATGATGCTACTGCTGCTGCCGATGATGCTACTGCTGCTGCTGATGATGCTGATGATGATAATGATGATGTTGCTGCTGCTGATAATACCGCTACTGCTGATGATGCTGCTGCTGATGATGATGATGCTGCTGCTGATGATGCTACTGATGATGATGCTACTGCTGCTGCTGATGATGATGATACTGCTGCTGCCGATGATGCTGATGATGATAATGATGATGTTACTGCTGCTGATAATACCGCTACTGTTGATGATGATACTATGGCTGCTGCTGCTGATGATGATACCGCTGCTGACGCTGATGATGATAATGATGATGTTCCTGCTGCTGATGCTGCTACTGCCGCTGACGCCCGAATCGTGTCCGCGCAGCAAGCCTTCAACGCCACGGCGGTGGTGCGGCACATGCGGAAGCTGCAACTGGGCTGCAGCCAGGACGGGCCGGCGCAGGCGGTGGTCCCCCCCGCGGTGCCCTTCAACGGTAGCACGCTGCACCCCGCCTGCTCCAGCAAAGGCAGTAGGTGGTGCTGTCTGCACTGAGCGCCCGTCCCGATCGCGCATCCTTCCCCCGCCCCCCCCCCCGCGCGTTCCGCTCGCTCGCTCGCTCCCTTCGGTCGATCGGGGCGAGAGCCCTGGGGAGGACGCGGAGTGCCGGGGTGGGACGCAAGAGAGGGAACACGGACGGGAGGGAGGGGGAAATCGCGCCGCGGTGAAGGGCGCCCGCGAACTTGGCGTCGACGCCAAACTCGCAATAAGATTGTGAGCAGGTAAAAGAAACGTCTCCTTTGGCGCGTGTGGAAGAGTAACACGGAGCGAAATGCAGCTCACCGACGAACCGAGGTTAAACGAGGATGGACGCTTGCAGGCAGCCAGGCAGGCAGGCAGCCAGCCAGGCAGCCAGGCAGGCAGCCAGCCAGGCAGCCAGCCAGGCAGGCAGCCAGCCAGGCAGGCAGCCAGCCAGGCAGCCAGCCAGGCAGGCAGGCAGCCAGCCAGGCAGCCAGCCAGGCAGGCAGCCAGGCAGGCAGCCAGCCAGTCAGCCAGGCAGGCAGCCAGGCAGCCAGCCAGGCAGGCAGGCAGCCAGCCAGGCAGCCAGCCAGGCAGCCAGCCAGGCAGGCAGGCAGCCAGCCAGGCAGCCAGCCAGGCAGGCAGCCAGGCAGGCAGCCAGCCAGTCAGCCAGGCAGGCAGCCAGCCAGGCAGCCAGCCAGGCAGGCAGCCAGGCAGCCAGCCAGTCAGCCAGGCAGGCAGGCAGGCAGCCAGCCAGGCAGGCAGCCAGCCAGTCAGCCAGGCAGGCAGCCAGCCAGGCAGCCAGCCAGGCAGCCAGCCAGGCAGGCAGCCAGCCAGTCAGCCAGGCAGGCAGCCAGCCAGGCAGCCAGCCAGGCAGGCAGCCAGGCAGCCAGCCAGGCAGCCAGCCAGCCAGGCAGGCAGGCAGGCAGCCAGGCAGCCAGCCAGGCAGGCAGGCAGCCAGCCAGGCAGCCAGCCAGGCAGGCAGCCAGGCAGCCAGCCAGGCAGCCAGCCAGGCAGCCAGCCAGGCAGGCAGGCAGGCAGCCAGCCAGGCAGCCAGCCAGGCAGGCAGCCAGGCAGGCAGCCAGCCAGTCAGCCAGCCAGGCAGGCAGCCAGACAGCCAGGCAGGCAGCCAGGCAGGCAGCCAGGCAGGCAGGCAGCCAGCCAGCCAGCCAGGCAGGCAGCCAGGCAGGCAGCCAGCCAGTCAGCCAGCCAGGCAGGCAGCCCGCCAGCCAGGCAGGCAGCCAGGCAGGCAGCCAGGCAGGCAGCCAGGCAGGCAGCCAGGCAGGCAGCCAGGCAGGCAGCCAGGCAGCCAGCCAGGCAGGCAGCCAGGCAGGCAGCCAGGCAGGCAGGCAGCCAGGCAGGCAGCCAGGCAGGCAGGCAGGCAGGCAGCCAGCCAGGCAGGCAGGCAGCCAGGCAGGCAGCCAGCCAGCCAGGCAGCCAGCCAGGCAGCCAGCCAGGCAGGCAGCCAGCCAGTCAGCCAGGCAGGCAGGCAGGCAGCCAGGCAGGCAGCCAGGCAGCCAGGCAGGCAGCCAGGCAGGCAGGCAGGCAGGCAGCCAGCCAGGCAGGCAGGCAGCCAGCCAGGCAGGCAGCCAGGCAGGCAGGCAGCCAGGCAGGCAGCCAGGCAGGCAGCCAGGCAGGCAGCCAGGCAGGCAGCCAGCCAGCCAGGCAGGCAGCCAGGCAGGCAGCCAGGCAGGCAGCCAGGCAGGCAGCCAGCCAGCCAGGCAGGCAGCCAGGCAGGCAGGCAGCCAGCCAGTCAGCCAGCCAGGCAGGCAGCCTGGCAGGCCGCCAGGCAGGCAGCCTGGCAGGCAGGCAGCCAGCCAGCCAGCCAGGCAGGCAGGCAGGCAGCCAGCCAGGCAGGCAGCCAGGCAGGCAGGCAGCAACACCGTGGCAAAGCCTGGCAAACACCGTGGCAAAGGGTGAGGAATCGTTCTGAGAAGAGCCGGTGTGCAGTGTTGGTGCGTGCCACAGAGCAGACGTTCGGTGCGGAAGGGAAAGATGCCATTCCAGATCCTAGAAGCGCCAGGATGCAGGAGTGGTTCTCTCTAAACCTGCCGCCATTTCTCGGCAGAAGGCGCAGGAACATTTTTGCGCATCACGCGTTGTGAGGATGTCAATCCGGCGAAAGCAAAGATTTACACACAAGAGGGACAGAAGGATACGCGTCGTGGACTAGAGCACGTGCTCTGCTGAGAGACATCGTGGGGTGACTGCCCTGTGGGTCGAGACGAACGAGACGGTGGCGGCCGAGGGAGGGAATCCGTCAGAGAGGGCGTCCCCCAAGGAGATGGAGTGGGGAACTCGGCTCATGCGCTGGGTGGATTGTTGCATTGTGGGACCGGGAGAGATGGTGACTGCTTGGTGAAGGAAGGGCGGGGGGGGGGAGGTCTTCAGTAGATCGCCATAGCTGATGATAAGCAAAGTAGTTACACTAAACTGTTTATGTCACCTTCAGCAGCAGCATCATAATCAGTAGCAGCGCGCGTTATACTCCTCATGGCGGTTGTATTTATTGTCATCGACATCATCAATGTGTTGTATCTTCATTCACAACCCACACACTGTATTCCTCGTCATTGTCATCGTCGACTGTGCTGTTTGCGAGCGTGAGGTTCTCGCCACCGCGGGGTTTTTCCCACAATGCCGTGCACCAGGGAGAGCGGTCGCTCACGCCGACCCCTCTTCCTCACACCGCAAGCCGAGCTCAGCACTGAGCACTTCTCAAATGTGGCGGTCGCATTTACAAGGGCGGAATCCACTCTTTTTTTTACTGGCATGCCAGAGCCGTGCCAGCGTGGGGGCAGTCACGGGGTCGGTGGTTTTCCATCGGCTATTTGCCGAGCCGCGCCAGAACCAAGCCACGATCCTCTGGTTTGACAAGATCTCTGAATCCGGCTCAGGGCCAAGCAGGGCCAGTGGTGGGGCTGACGACGGTGGCGACTTCGGACACTTTTGCCAATGGGACTCTTCGTGGTCTCACTCGAGCTATTTCTCGCAGTTGAACAAAATAACCTTGAGACCGGACACGGGTCCGGGGCACACCGCGAGGGAGCGGCGTCTACGCACGTCTCGCGTCATTCGCCACGCGCGGCGCGGCTCGGCTTCTGCGGTGGAAAACCGGGCCCATCCCGAACCGTGCCGGACTGGCACGGCGTCAGCACGGCTCGATTGTGCAGTGGAAAAAGAGTTAAAAGCGTCTTTTCATTCAAACGGGTGGAACACATCTCCACTGACCCCAAGGCTTGCGGTGGAAATTGCACGTTCACGTGGTAGGGACAAGTCAGCCCTTAATAATGATTTCGTACACAGTGGAACTTATTTCATGAACCACTGCGTGTAGGTGGGCCGTGGACCACAGCACCACGCCGTGGGATTTAACAAAAAAGAAAGAATAAATCCGTGCGTGTGCCCTCGAGGTTCATATCGCGTCGCTTCTGTGTTTGTTTGTTTTATTCCTGGATTTTTTTTCCTGCCTGGCATCCATTCCACTGTTATTACGACACAGGGGGGGGGGGGGGGGGTGGTGGGGCGGTACAGCAGTCGGCGCGCCAGTGCCGTTAACGCGGCCGCTCCCAGCAGCCACGGCTAATGCCGTTTGGCGGCTGCTACCTGAACAGGGCTGCTCGCCCTCCACCAACCCGCGCTGTCCAGCGTGGTGAAGTATGGTCAAACAATTCCCAACATCGACATGGTGTGGAGAGAGTGTCAGTGTCCCGGGAGAGTGTTCGTGGAATGGTGCGAACGCTGCGTGTGATAGTGGAACGGTGTAAACGCTGTTAGTGGAACGGTGTAAACACTGTCTCCCTTGCTCACCGGGTAATTGCAGGAAGCGTTTGCCGGGGCAGATGTAACTTGAGCCTCCCCGCTCCGTCTTAATCACAGCCGATGGGGCCGACTCAGGGTCTCGCTTGATGGACATGAAGTTGAGGAGCCGTAGGGGCCTGTCCTGAGACTCCGCGTCAGATCGAGTGTGCCGGAGTGAGCGGCGAGCGACGTCGATAGCCAATTCACTTATTCCCACTCCGGGGTCGTGGTACAGAAAGTACAGAAAGTAGAAATGACGGGGTTGATGTGAGAGTCTGCATCCTGACCAGTGGCCGTGGTTCGTGCGGCAGAGGCCCCCGGAGCAAAACGTGGCTTCCTGGCCGGCCCCCGTCGGCGCCTTTCCCCTCTTCGTAGCCCCAGCGCCCCGGGGCCTGTGGACTCTGTGATTGTCTTGGGGAGAAACTGGTTCCTGCCGTAGGAATGTGGAATTGACACCATTGGCTCTCGTTAGGGCAGAGAGATGCTTCGACCTGACCTGGGAACCATGAAAGTAATAAAAAATTTCGCTTCCGCCAAATTAGAAAGTACGGAATCACGGAAGAGATTACGTTTCTTCACTTTAAAATTAAAAAGCCCTCCGGTAGCCAATCGTCGGAGAGTGACTCCGAAGTCACCCTTCCAGCGCCACCGCTGTAGAGCCGCGCACAGCCAAAGACTCTACAGCATTTGGCTGCGATCGTCCCCCCGCTCACTCCGGGAAGCCGTCACTGCCTGCGGTGTCACCGTCCTCAGCGCCCGTCCGCGTTCAGATCCCCCCTCGTGCCCCCCCTCGTGCCCTACCCATTTTGTGCCCCCCCCCGTGCCCCCCCTCATGCCCCCCCCATTGTGCCCCCCCTCGTGCTCCCCCCTCGTGCCCCCCCCTCGCACCCCCCGCACACAAGGAGGAGGGGGGGGGGCAGGCCCTGTGCTCCGGGGGGAGGCCACAGGACCCCAAGGCCACTTGCAAATAAAATAAATAAATAACCCCCCCGTAACATTTTTGCTTTGAAAGCCACGGCCAAGCTATTAGGGCAATTTCCAAAAACACGATATATATACACACACACACACTTTTGTTTGAGCGAAGGTTATGATTATCTCGTGAAACCTTGAAAGAGAAACAGGGCCCGGGTAAGTGCTGTGAACGGGGCTCTGCTCACGTCGCTAAATTAAACCTCGTGCCGTGGCCGAGACGCCGACGGGCAGCAGAAGCCGTTTAAACGGTTTGCTTTGTAGTTTGTGGGTTTGCCACCCTGGACAGAATAACAAACTTGGGCCCGCAGACCGATTGGCGAGGCTTCAAGGCGTATGATTTTGCGGGCCGCTTGTTAAAATCAATCGCGCGGCGCAATCATCCGCGTCGTCACGGGGAATATAAGTAGCAAAATAAATAAGTGGACACGATGCCTCCTTTCACACGTCTGTGACGAACACGGCTCTCTGGGGATGTGTAGCCTCAGCAGCATTGATTCAGCGCAGGCAAACGCTTGACCTGTTTCGGCAAGCAGCGTCTCACCAGCAATGCTGGTGAAACTGCCCGATGTTTATGCGAATGGATCCTCTCTGTTAGATTTGTGTCATAATTCGACTCGATTATATTTTGCGATGTTTATTTTTCAGAGAGATTTGCGGCCTTGAGCCTGGACTCGAACAGCGGTAGGGAGTCAACAGCACGAATCCCTCGGGGAAGGGGGCTCCAGACTGTGGGGGCAGCAGAGGAGAATGAGCGACCTCCCACTGCTTTGATGGAAAGCCTTATTTTCTGGAGCGAAGAGTGTGTGCAGGGGAGCGGGTGGAGAGTGCGTGGAGAGGGGATGAAAGTGAGATTAGAGGGAGAGGGTGGAGAGGGTGGAACAGGAAACTTGCACAAAGCCGTGGCGTAAAACGCAATCCGCAACACAATCCACTCCTCGTGTCTCCTGAGCGCGCACACACACGGAGCACTTCACATCTCCAGCTGATGGCCCCGAGGCACTGGTGGACATTCCCCATTCCTATGACAAGGGCCAGCCTCCTCAAAGGACGACCACACGGTGATCTCACAAAGCGGACCTCGTCTTATCGACGCCGATTGGACGATGCGCTGACCGCGGGACTCTCCGAGCGGGATTTGAGCTCCCACCGTGAGAGCGGAGCGCTTCGTCCGCTGCGCCACCGGTCGGTCGGGGGCCTTCCACGGATGGCTTGAGCGCCATGCCCCCCCCCCCCCACCCCGGATCGCCCTGCGGCGCCTGCGAGCTGCGAGGAGGAGGCCCCTTGACGAAAAGTAAACAGGCGGGCCCAGCGGCGGGGTCAAGGGGGCAATCGGCTTGGGGCGAACCGAGCGGCCGCGTGAGTGGCGGGCAGGGCGGCCGACGCCAACGGCGCTCGCCGCTGGCCGCGTCCAACGCGTTCGGCGTGCTTCAGATGGCTGCTGCGTGTCGCGAAGTGGCCACACGAGGCCTGTGGTTGTGTCGTTGGGCCGCGCCTCTCCGCCCGCTTGTGTAAGCGCTTCGGCTCAGGCATGCGCGCAAGGGGGGCATGGGGAATCGACTCTGCTGCCCACACGAGCGTGTGCGTGCGCGTGTGCGTGCGCGTGTGCGTGCACGTGTGCAGGCATGCGGAGCGGGAGTGCAATAGTTAGCGCACCGCCCTATGAACCCTGTGTCTAGGGTTCAATTCCCGCGCCAGGCCAATAACAGTGGTGAATATTTGAACGGAGCTTGGCCCTCCCCTAGGTCGACTCGGCCTCCATTGAGTGTCTCGTGCGGTGGCTAAACATAATCGCAGGGGATAGAAAGGTGGCTGGGTATGGAGGAATAGCAAAACTACACGATCTCTCTCTTTCTCCTCTCATCGTCGCCAGCGGTTTTCAATATTTGGCGTTTAGCTCCTAGACACATTGCTGCCATCGCGCGCACAAGTGCATATTCTGCTCGACAAAAACGACGTGACCAAAAAACATGTTTTTAGACATCGTTGTCGAACATTTAATCCCCCACAAAGCCTTTTGCGGGCTAAAGGGGCTTGCGGACCGTGACGAGCGCACAGAAGCGCGCGTCGATCATTGGCGCCTCCTGCTCCGTTGGACCAGCCGTGGGGCCGGTCTGTCCGCAACACAACAGAAGTTTGTTATGATGATGGCCTGAGTTGATCAGAGCGTGGGATGTGATCCCAAAAGCACGCGAGGCTTTTGGGCGAAGTGCCGCTGTCATTCTGGGCTGCATTCCCCCCCCACCACCACCCCCCAATGTTTGCAATTTTACCCCAAAAGATTCATAACCACTTGAAGTGGCTGCCCTACGTATGAACATACTTGTGCTAATTGTGACAAAGTGCACGATCTCCCGTGTCGTGGCGTCATCTCCCGCGCGCCCGCGACCCCGTCGCGCCTCGCCGAGCGCGATCCTGTCCGCGAAAATCCGAGGGCGTTTAGGGATAATCCGCACCGAGCTGGAAGAATTGCACATTCCTTAATTAATAACGCTCGCTAAAGTTGCTATGACGCTGCGCGCGCTGTACCGAGGCTTTGCGATAAACACAGCGCCAGCCGAGGAAGCAACGGGAGTAGAACGCGCAACAACGATCGGAGTTGTGGCGTTGGCAGAGTTGGTGGTGGCGTTGGTGGCGGCGTTTCCTTTCGCGATCCCTGTGACCCAGCAGCCCGTGCCGTCACCGGAGCTTGGAAACTCTGCGGTGGTCGAGTGTGGTTCGTGCCGGTTGGGTGACGGCCAGAGCCTGTGGGTGGTTGTCGGCTCGGGAGCTGTGGGGCGGCCAGGAGAGGAGAGCGCTGCCCCCGCTCCCTGCCCTGGTGCGTGTGGGGGGGGGGGGGGGGGTCCTCCGGCTTCCTCCCGCGTTGAGACAAACGAACATCCCATCGCGGAACCCTCCTAGTCTTGAGGCTCGATGAGGCCTTCCCGTGCAATCGATGGATATTACGGCGTGTGCTTATAGGTACACACACATACAGCCCACAACAACGACGGCCGCGATACGCGATGACGTTACCACGGCGCTTGTGCCAGACTAGGTGCGCTTTGAGGCCACTCGAAGGCTGTCCAGCAGGAGATTACGGAACAGACCCAGGTACCATGTACAGACAGACTAGTAACGCACGCACGTTGTCACTCGCACCATGCACGCCAAAGCACCATTGAAGGCTGAGTCGACCAAGGGGAGGCTCGGGATGAGTTGAGATATCGCTCGCCGCCAATTGCTATCCGTGGCCAGAAATAGAACGCAGGTCGCTGGGTTCGGAACACGTTGACTACACCACTGCACCACCACTCCCTCCCCACCACACGCGCACGTCTGTCCATGCTGGAGACGGGGTCTCGACGGAGCCGGCTCGGTGCTCTGACCTCCGAGCCGCCGCCCGGTGGCCACCCCGCAGAGAGATGCGCCTGAATTAATCCCGCGGTCGGGGTCAGTGGAGTCGGTCATTCCTCTCCGGGGTCCGTGAAACGGGGGCGGCGCTTCGTGGGGGCGGGCAGCCGTCAGCGGCTCTCCCGCAAGAGAGCGGCGGCATCTCGGCCCCGCCGCGAGAAGGTGGAGTTTTCAGAGTTGCCAGCGACGAGCCCCCCCTCCATCCCCCCCCCCCCCCCCAATGTACGTTTCACAAACGCACGCGGGCATCGTGAGCAGGGCGCTCGGTGCGAGCCCACGGGACAGCGTGAAAATATTGCGGCAAAAAAAGAATCCGGCGTCGTCACTGGCCGAGGGGCTAACCGTCTGTGGCGTGCACCGACGATGACCCTGTCCGCCAGCGGGTACACGCGCTCGGCCGATGCTAGGGAGGCTATTTAAAGGAAACTGCCATTGTGGGTAAATTGTAAGCACGTGTGGTCCCGTGGCGAGTACGATGGTCACCTTTGTGAAAATAAGCACGGCGTTCCCATGGTGCCATTTCATAACAAAGGAGGAGTTTTTGCAGCCCTTTGCCGGTCCGCTCATGGATGAACGCCTTCTCGAGTTGCGTCAGTCGTGGGGATTGTTTGCCCATACTTCACCAATGTTTTAAGTTTTACGTATTTTTTCTCATTTTATTTTTTCGTTAAACTGCATTTCGCTTGCAAGAGCCCTTGAGGCGGAATGGCTCGTCTGCAAGGCTGTTGCAATTATCACGACGTTGATGATCTTCTTGGTTCTTTCGGTAAAGTCACATAGAAGGGAAATAATAAAATAATAAAAGAACAAAAATAAAACATAACATTTATTTTTATTATTTTATTATTTTCCTTCTACGTGACTTTACCGAAAGAACCAAGAAGATGAATCCCTGCAGTCACGAAAGCTTTAAATCGACGTTGATGATGTCCACGAGAACGTTGCTGCTGCTGCTCTGCATGCTGCCCCGTGCTGATCACCGTCATGGCCGCCCGCCCCCCTCTCCCCAGGCTCCAGCTCGGCGTCTCTTTCCACGTCCGAGGACGCCATGTCGAGCTCCCCCACGCCGTCGCCGACCTTCACGGGGCCTTCTCTCAAGCCGCCGCCCGGCGCGCGCCCCACGGCCGTGCAGGAATGAGGGGCCTTTGCGTGGCCCCTCGTGCGAGGGCCCCTGGCTTGCGGGGCCTCACGTTGCATGCTGCTGCTGCTGCTGCTGTTTTTTGTGTGTGGGGGGCCTTCACGCGGGACCTCGCTTTGGGCCTTCGCGCCATATCTTGACGGTGTCAACGTTAATGTGGGCCTTCCTCATGCCCCGGTTGCGGTGTTTTCCCCTTCGGCTGATGCCGGCGGTCTCGTGGTCTGGGCCTTCACGTGATGTCTTTCCTTGAGCTTCGTAGGAAGCTTCCCGCAGGACCTTCCTCTAGAACTACCGTGTGTAAACCTCGTCATCTAGGATCTTCACGTGGACCTCCGTGCAGGACCTGCGTGGTGGGCGATCGTAGTGGGCACGCCTTTGATCTCGCGGGGAGGCCCGGGTGGCACAGGCAGCCAGCAAGCGCCAGCGCTGCCGTTGGAGCGCAGGCGCAGTGGAGGCATCGGAGAGTTCCTGGGCCCCAGAGTCCCGCGCGAGTTTAGCTTCAGGATCTCCGGTGCAGCCGGTACGAAGGTCCCGGCACGGTCACCGACGAAGGCACTTGAACAAAACAAAGCCATTGTTGCGGTTCTGGGTTCGCGCTTGAGTTTGGCCCGGCTGATCTCCGGGGGATCATTTGTAAATATGGGACGTGACGATAACAGGCGCAGGGCAAACCACAAAATGGGTCACCACAGTTGGCAGAAGGGCGAGGTAGACTCTCCGAGGGATGACGGGCAGATTATTGTGATATCTCTCAGAGTTTCAATACAAAATTAAACACTCTCACCGTAACCTCCTTTTCCACTGGCACTTTGGAGCCGTGCCAAGCACAGGGAGGGTCCTCGCGGTACGATTGGTTGTGCACTGGGGGCTATACGCGCTCGGCCGGAGCCAAACCCTGAAACTCTGACCTCGCAAGACATCCGAATCAGCTCGGAGCCAAGCAGGGCCAGGTTTGGGGTCGTTCTCGGCGCACCGGCTTCGCGGCAGCGCGCGTGTCCCGGGCGCGACGGCCCCGACAGCACGGGGGGACCTCGGATTGTGCGGCCGCCCTTCACGATAGCGCGGCGCCGCTGTGAAAGCCGGTGGCCAAGTCGAGAGCCAATTTTTATTTTTCAAACCCCCCCCCCCACCCACCACCCATACCACCCACCCGCCAAAAACTTAGACTACAACATTTCATCGTGCGGCAGTGATCGAGAGGCTGATAGAGAACGTGATGGTCAGCAGCGGACGGGTGTCCGATGTAGATTGGTCCCCCGCCACGGGAATGTGGAGTTTCCACCATCGGCTCAGGGTGGAGATTAGCGTCACCGCGATGCTCGCTTGACTGTGACATCATCGCATTGCGGACCATGCGTGTGTGTGCGTGGGTGTGCATGTGTGAGTGTGTGGATGTGTGTGTGTGTGTGTGCATGTGTGCGTGCGTGTGTGCATGTGTGAGTGTGTGTGCATGTGTGAGTGTGTGGATGTGTGTGTGTGTGGATGTGTGAGTGTGTGTGCGTGTGTGTGTGAGTGCGTGTGTGTGCGAGTGCGTGTGTGTGCGAGTGCGTGTGTGTGCGAGTATGAGTGTGTGTGTGCGTGTGCATGTGTGCATATGTGTGCGTGAGTGTGTGTGTGGATGTTTCGCGTGTGCTTGTGTGCATGTGTGCATGTGTGCATGTGTGTGTGCGTGTGTGCGTGCGTGTGAGTGTTTGTGTGCGTGTGAGTGTGTGCGCGTGTGTGTGCGTGTGTGTGTGCATGCGTGTGTGTGTGCATGCGTGCGTGTGTGTGCGTGGATGTGCATGTGTGTGAGTGTGTGTGCATGTGTGCGTGTGTGAGTGTGTCTTTGTGCATGTGTGAATGTGTGTGTTTGTGAGTGTAAGTGTGTGTGTGTGTGTGCGTGTGTGTGAGTGTGTGCATGTGTGTGCATGCGTGCGTGTGAGTGGGGAGCGGTAGTGTAGCGGTTAGCGCGCTGCGCTATGAACCTGGCGACCCGGGTTCGATTCCCGCTCACGGCTAACACCAGTGACGATTATCTGAACCGGTCCTGGGCCTCCCCTAGGTCGACTCAGCCTTAAATGAGTACCTGGTGCGGTGTGTAAACATCGCCACCAGGGAGACAAAGGCGGTCGGGCGTGGTGCTGGCCACCCACCCCCTCGTGTACCGTCCCGGCCTTCATAGGTGCTCGCTAACAGCACTTGCCCCTACAGTCTGTTCAGGCTATACGGGGGATCTTTGTGTGTGCATGTGTACATGTGTGTGTGCGTGTGTGTGTGGGTGTGTGCGCGTGTGTGTATGTGTGCGTGTCTTTGTGCATGTGTGTGTGTGCCTTTGTGTGTCTTTGTGCGTGTGTGTGAGTGCGTGTGTGTGTGGATGTGTGTGAGTGCGTGTGTGTGTGGATGTGTGTGTGTGCGTGTGTGTGCGTGTATGTGTGTGTGTCTTTGTGCGTGTATGAGTGAGTGTGTGTGTAAGGCAGTCTGGTAAATGTGCGCACGGATTGGCGCTGTCCCCGCTGTGAGCGGCCACGTGGCCCTCGCCTCCTTGAGGCGTCTCCTCGCCGCGTCGGAGCGGCGAGGCGGATTGTTCCCAATTAATGAGAAGAATGCGAACATCGCGCCGAGGTAGGAAGCGTTCGCGTGATCCGTGCAAAATGTTTCTTTTTGGATCGATCTGAAAATGTAGTCACCGCAAGAAGCGATGGAAATTTCCGGTCGCGTCGCTTCTTTTTCCCGCCAAAAGTGCCGTCGCGTAACGACACTTTGGACGGTGCGTGACGTCACTTGATATAACATTGAAGTATAACAATGTCTGCGTTCACAGTTGTACGTTTTACCGATGAAACTTGCATGTAAAAAAAAAAATCGTACGGATATTTTAAATCGTCGAAACGATTACATTTGGTGTACACGCAATGGAAGTTATTCACGTAGTATTACATTTACATTTGAAAATATTTAATAAAATTTGAAATTGGGCGTAAACATTGCAAAAAAAATCTGACATCCAGAAATATGTGATATGCCGCTGGACGGAGCCTTCGTTTGTTCGGGACATTGCAGCGATGTCACTCAAATCCCTTGGGAATGTGTCGTCACGCTGAACTGGGGCGGCAACGCGGTTCGAACCCAGCGGCTGCCCCGGTTAATCCTGTCGCCAACGAAATCAAGAATTGCCAGAGCGCCTGCCGAACTCACAGTCGGAAAGCTGTGGCTTCAAATTCCCGGTCAGGTGTCAACTCAGCCCGTCGTCACGTTTGAAGGGTCGATAAATGAAGTACCACTTTGTGGATGAGCAGAAATTAGGGGCCGTCCATAAATGACGTCAGGCGCCTGGGGGGGGGGATGGTTAGACATTTGTGACGATGTGTGACGAGGGGGGGGGGGGGGTTTGAAAAATGTGACGTCACATCAAAATGCGCAACTTTAAATAAATATAGACAACACTTTATACTTAATTAAATAGACTTTTTAATAAATGTTTTCTCCCACAACATCAGAGTGCAGCGCCACATTAAATACGCACTACAATGACAATAGTTTAAAGCGATTTGAAGCATTTTTTTTGGGGGGGGGGGGGGGGGCAGAGCTTTGTGACGTCATATTTGAGGGGGGGGGTCAAAAATCGTCCAAAATCGCGTGACGTCATTTATGGACGGCCCCTTAGAGGGGCAGCGGGTGACGGGGCAGGGCGGTGGGGGCCGGGGGGGGAGGTCCCTCTCAGCAGAGGTCGCAACCGGGTACCCGATACCCGTACCCTACCCGATACCCGGCTACCCGTACTCGGCCGGGTATCGGGTAGGGGTACCCGTTTTTGACCCTGGTGCGGCCGGGTAGGCCGTGAGTCACTGGTGAGTAACTGTTTGTCACTCATTTCCCAACGTCTTGTCTCTTCTCACAATTCAAGTTCCTAGAATCAACCCACCCGCGCCTGCAACATGGCTTCATCCCAGAGGTCGCAATTGGGTACCCGACACCCGTACCCTACCCGTACCCGGCCCGGTACGGGTAGGGTACGGGTACGGCCGGGTACGGGTACCCGTTTGCGACCCTGGTGCGGCCGGGTACGGGTAAGGAATCAAAACCCGTTTGCGACCTCTGCCTCTCAGCCATCGCCCCAACCGCATTTCGCAACGGCGCTCCGAGCGAGCGACGCTCCCGCGTTGGACGCTGCAAGTTTAGCTCCCGACGAGGACACGGACCGGGCTCGTGGTCTCTCTGCAGTGGCGACATCGAGTGCCAGTGGCTGTCACGTCGACCTTGAGGGTGGAGCGGTGGCGCAGCGGTTAGCGCGAGCTTCGCTGTGAACCCGTTGGGCAGAGTTCGATACCCGCTCACGGACGGCGTCAATGGTGGGTGATGTCAGATCAGGGCCTGTGACACCCATAACCAACCCTCCAGTGTGGTCCAACAACCCCGTGGCTCACAGGGGATAGGGATGCCTTCATTGGCTAAGGGCTCGACGTTCATTAAACTTCAGTTTCATTTCAGTTTCATGTATGAGTTATAACCCTGTGAGCCATGCGGCTCTTGACTCGGGTGCAACCGCAACAAAACAAAAACATGAACGAGAAACATCTTAAAGTGACTACACGCACACAGAAAAATCCAGGAAAAAACAGCAAAGTCTTCCAGAATAAACACCGCATTTCAACGCTGTGTGCAAAATTCCCAGTGGGATGCAAGTCAAACAATAACAACCATAAGACAATGTAGTTTAAAGTTATTAGGCCAACTCTGTACTATAACAAACAAACATGGCTACACCAAAACCGAATGTGTGTACGTTGAACTTCTTTCACACCGTACGTAGCCAACCGTTCTCATCGGAGGTGCGGGGGAAGGACATCAAAAAACTAAAGACGAAACTCGGTATTGTCAAAGCCATGGGAATATGGAATTCCCACGTGCGCTATCCGAACACTTGTGACTGAGTGAAGCAGTTGCTTCGTTTCTGAACTCGCGACTTCATGAGAGATTGAAAGTCTGATGTGCATACAAAGACAAAGATCCCCCGTTTAGCCTCAACAGACTGTTGGGGCAAGTGTTGTTAGCGAGCACCTATGAAGGCCGGCACGACACGCGAGGGTGTGGGGGGCCAGCACCACGCCCGGCCGCCTTTGTCTCCCCAGTGGCGATGTTTACACACCGCACCAGGTACTCATTTGAGGCTGAGTCGACCTAGGGGTGGTCCGGGACTGGTTCAGACAATCGTCACCGGTGTTGGCCGTGAGCGGTAATCGAATTCGGGTCGCCGGGTTCGTAGCGCAGCGTAGCGCTAACCGCTGCATCACCACACACATACCTTTTGAACAAAGGGCCACAAATTAAAAGATTTTATTATTTGTCTCATTTACTGTAATGTAATAATCACCCTACATACCACCCATGAAACAATAACGGTGTGTTTACTATTTATATATTTATATACGTGTGTGCGTGTGTGTACTGGCTGGAGCCCAATGAGCAGAGATATTGCGATCCTTCGTGATTGACATTGCAGATCGTTTCGTGCCGGTGAAAGCACGAAGACGGAATGAGAGACGCCGAGATGGAACGATAGAAACGTGGCCAGCGAGCTCAAGGGGCTCGCAATGCCCTCATCAGAGAGGACCAACAGTGCTGAGAGACGAGGTTCAATTCCAGGTGTGGGGTCTCGTATTCTAAGCCTGGCTGCTCAGAAACTTATTTTGCTTCTGCCTATCCTAGTTCTGGGGCGCAATAAAAACGGGGAATAGATAGAGATTGTGAATGCTTGACACGTGGCGAACCACTCGCAGTGGGCTAAAACAATGATCACTTACCTGGGGGATGAATACGGACTGAGTTTGTAGGCTTTTGCAGGAGGGTTTCTGCATCGGGATGTTTGGCCGACACCGATGGCATCGCTTGCGTCGAGCTGTGTGAGGAAACCCGCGCAGAACAGAGGGAGAGAAAGAAAGAGAGAGAGAACACAACTCCGCACGCAGAGAAGTGCTCGGGTTGAGGCACGGAACCAGGGGGTGCTGTGAGGAGCGAGTGTAGCCGTGATAATAATAACAATAATAGTTCAATTTGTAACGCGCGCAAATTTGCGGACGTAACGACCGCAACTCAGAGGCGCGGAGCCAAGCTCAGAGTCGCTCGAAAGCGCGTGGTTGTAGAGGTGAGTTTTTAAGTGTCTCTTGAAGGAGGCGATTGAGGTGATGCTGCGAATGTGCAGAGGGATAGTGTTCCAGACTGTTGGGGCTGCCACCGAGAAGCGGCGCATAGACGTGACCATCCTGGATCTTGGTATCAAGAGGAGGTCGTGAGTCGCGCTGCGCAGGCATCTGCCGTGTGCCGAGCTGCAAGTTGTCAATAATGAAGAAAGATACGGCGGGAAGGCGGATATGAAGGTGTTGTGGCAGAGGCAAGATCGAGCAGCGTCTGTGAGTGGTCCGAGTGAGCGTGGGCAAACGCGGTCATCTCCGGCCGCTAATCTGGCGTGATTTTCATTATTATTATTCTCCACACTCCTGCTTGCCCCAGTAAACGCAGGACCTGCAGCGTGCTCTCACACGACTGGGCACTGGCAAAAAGAAAAGAGCGTTGCTGGTAGCAGTTATCGATCGGCCACTTTAGTGCCAGTAAAAATACTGGACTATCCAGGAACGGTGACGGCGCGCAATGGAAACGGAATTTGCAGCCTTGGTTTTTTTTTCTTAGTTCTCAACATTGAGACAAATCGACGGCGGTTGTGCTTTTTGTTCAAATTTGGACGTCGCTGATGGAAGCGATACCCGTAGCAGTGGATGCTTCGTCGCCAGCCACGCACGCGTCGGAGCGCTGACTGGCAGTGTGGACTTAAAAGGCTGCAAAGTTGTAATCAAGAGTGGGGAGCGCAGATGGTGCAATGGTAATGAGTTCCAGAGTTCAGTAGCAAGAGCGCCACGTGTGGCGGTGAGGCAACCGGCCCGGCCCCAGTTCTCCCGGCGGCACGACTCGAGGGGGCACGAGAGAGAAAGGGGGTTCGGGGGGGGTCGTTGACGGATGAGACAAATAACTGGAGGATACTGTTTGGGAGCGCGGGGAGTGTCCCAGCGGCCGTGGCAGAAGGAGGTGGCAGAGTCACTGTCGACCAACCCCCAGACACATTTCGCAGTCAGCGCAGGCGTACACCAACAACAACAACAATCGAGCGGTAAACTGGGATAGAGTTCAAGACGGCATCACCGGTAACAGATCTCTTGCGCAAATCAATTCCTGCTGCCCCGAGCACCGATGCCAATTCCCGGCCAAACCCGTCCAGGTGGCAACACTCGGGTGAGTTCGCTACCGTGAGCCGCATGCGTGCAGACAGGAGGCGGGTGAGCTGCACGGGAGAGCGAGGCCCTCCCTGTTCGCGCTCGGCCACGATGCGGAGGCGGCGGTGGAACTCGCAGGCCTGTGGCCAGCCGTTGTACAAATAAAAAAATACTTTAAAAAGAAATTTAAAATAAAAACAAAAAAACCCACGACGTTTCGATCACAACACAAGCGGTCTTCATCAGGCGCTGTTATAGCGATCGAAACGTCGTGGTTTTTTATTTTAATTTAACTTTAATTAGTCTTACAATCTTTTTATTTTATTATTTTCTATCTACGTGACTTTGCCGAAAGAACCAAGAGTATCAATTCCTGCAGTCACGAAAGTTTAAAGTAAAAATTTTAAAAAACGTCAGTCTCTGTGGCCACTGGAAGCCCGTGGTATCGGTGGTCATTCTCAATCTGCGGTTGTTGCAGATTGGCCTTGTGCTGTTTATAAACGCAGTCGCCTCCGTGGCGATAGATTTGTTGAGTTATGTGCGCGCGTATAGTGTGTGTGTGTATAATAGTGTGTGTATAATAGTGTGTGTAATGGAAACATTTAGGCTGGCCTGCCTATGATCCATCCTGGGTTTAACCAGGCTGGATTGTGTGAGGAGCTCACAAATCCTTGAAAGATCTGGGCAAAGTCCCATCGGTGAGCTCCTCCGGCAGGCAAGGCTGCGTCGGCTGGGTCATGTAGCACGCATGCCCAGCCACCGCATGCCGAAACAGCTTTTGTTCGGCCGGATCGAGGGGGCTAAACGGGCGCGGCACGGGCTAAAGAAGAGATGGAGTGATGTGGTACAGGAGGACGTGGAGTTGAGTGGACTTGCCGATGACTGGTACCAGCGGTGTTAAGATCGGCCTCTGTGGAGGAGGCTCGTGAAGGACGGTGCTACTGCGCAGTTGGAGGCAGTCGCCCTCCAACAACAACGGAGAGCGGAGGAGCGACGTTCACAACAACGAGTGGAGCGCCGGGTGGCTAAAGCACAGCAAGTTGGCA